CGAAAGGTAGTTTTAGGTCGTCATGGCAACCGTGCTTGTAGAGCCTTGAAAGAGTAGTGATATACAGTTTCTAATTTTGATCTTCTTTCTTTGTGGTTACAGAGTATATGAATCTGTATGTATAGATATCATCTACTTGGTTCAATATAGTTTATATCTTGAATTTATTTCAAAATTCATTTTCCCGATATCTCGTCTTCTTGCCTTTTACTTCCTCCAAAATATCTCACTGCTACTGTTCAAATGAATGGACTACAAATACAGTATAAATGGACTGATAATGCCGTATAAGATCTCTCTATGGTGATACTCTATATAGGAATAACCTCCATGTATAAAAAAATAAAAAGAATAAAAAAAAATAAAAAAGGTCTAAACTTGGACCAGTTATAAATAAGAATAAACTTCACATTGTAATAAGTTATAATTTTACTAGGTCCCATCTTAAGGAATTTGCCTCCATGTGTAATAATTATCAGTATATTGCAAAAAACACATACTATGTTACATTCAAGGTATAAGATGAAATAAAATATTTATCTAAAGTTGTTTGGAAAAAAAAAATATATGCTATGTTACATTAAAGGTCTAAGATGACGTTGCATATTTCCAACACTACAGACACATGGACTAGTTTTTTAAACCATGTCTATTTTTATTTTTATATTTTTAAACAATGTCTATCCCTTGGATTTGACATGCTCTTATTAATTATTAACGTACTTCATACTTTACCCCGATTCCACTTGCACTAAGGATAACTAAGTCAAAACAATAAATTTTATAACTACAACTCTGTTAAGTTATTATAACCTCCTCTTAGCAATAAAATTAGTTTGGTCCCAACATTATGACTATAAAGAGGTTTACTGCATATTTTTCAATGCGTTAGGATGAAAACAATTAGCACATAGTGCACCTTTTCCCTCATGCGTGCACTCCAAGCATCATTCCTACTTGGACGTTGATCAAGGGTACCAGCAGCAGAGACACCTGGAGAGGGAACTGCTGCTGTCCTGTTGAGCAATGGCTGTCGGGTTTGCCGCCTTGAACCTGTGGACTCATCATCACTATCATAATCATAATTTGCTGGTCTGTTGACAGCCCTCACAACAAGCGCCAACAAAAATACAAGCGCCTGCAATTTCATAAGCCCCTAGTGAATGAAACGACTAGTAGATAGGAAGAAACGAACACACAATAGGTTTCGCCTGTTCAGCTTCCAACACTTTTGCTAATTAAAGTCAATCTTTGTTCCCGAAAATTGAAGCATTTCAAATCAGGGACATGCTGATTTCCCCCCACAATGTATGTGACAATTATTAATGCAAAGATACATTGGAAACAGTCCATAAGATAACACAATAGTCAGATATTGTTGGATGGAGGCACTTGAATGGGCCTGAAGTTGAATTGGTGTGACTGGATTGATTGCCATAAATTTGATAATGATACTGGATTGCGGATTATTTTCTTGAGAAAGAAATCTTTCAAAAGTGATTGTGAAGTAAATGCTAAGGACATAACCTGTGCTAACGCTCTAATGCATGAGTCAGAGATAGAGAACTGCAGAAAAGGGGGTATTACATTATTAGTTCAAATATTGGAATGCTATCAGGACACAATGTTAATATCAAAATTTCAGTGAACACTAAGGATGTTTGGTGGGAATTAAAATTAGAATATTTATTAGATTGTGATAGAAGTTTTTGAAATGTGTGATTAAAAAGTTGTGGAACCCATAAAAGATGTGATTAGGGTAAATAGGACAAAACATCCCTACCCTTCAATGTTATTGTGCAAAACGTCTTTACCTTTCATTTTTTGGTATTTTCACCCCTATTTCCACATTTCATTGTGCAGAAGGTCCTTTTCATCAATTTTTGACGATTTCATCCTCCTATTCAAATGAAACAAAAAGAAAAGAAAAGAAAAAATAAAAAACTAATTGCAATTATAGTCCCAAATTTTCAAAAATTACAAATCTGTCACAAATATAACCACCCAACCACTTCCAAACTTTTCCTTCCAATCCCCATTCTCTCGTCTACCATCCACTTCCAATCCCCCAAACCAAGTCATTAACAACACTCACCTACTAAAATCAAATGACTTCATTTTACTGTAAATTTGTATTAGTTATTTCAATTTCTGATTATTGTTTTGTGGGTTTAATGCGGTGGTGTTGAAGAAATTGAAAAAGCAAAGGGAAGTTAGCCTGGAAAAAACTAAGGTTTGGAAGGAGCCTCCAGATAGCAAGTACCGGAAAGTTCCAGTTTGTTATTATCTTTCCAGAAACGAGCAGCTCCAACATCCCCATTTCATGGAGGTTCCTCTAAACAAGGCCTCTCTCTCTTCTACCGTCCACTTCCCAATCCAAATATTAGTCTATCTCCCAAGAAACTTTTCCTTCCAATCCACACTACTGATACTAGAACTAAACACCTTTTCCTCTTGCATGTCCTCAACCTTGTCAATTTCATTATCCGGAGTTCTAATAACTACAAAACCCATTTATTTGTTGCAATTTCACCTAATACTTGTGCAACAACGCTTTTGAAAATAGGAGCCCGAATGAATCTTTGGATTCAACATGGGCATTGCAGCTTTTATGGAAATTCCTTTGGAATGGGGTCTTTTAAAAGTGGGGAATGTATTTAGCAAGGCTTTTGCTTCCATGGCTTTATTTTTCTGTATTTATTTCTTCAAGTGAGACAATTTACACAAACTATTTTATGGATATGGAAAATGTAAAATTGGAAACTTACAATTACAGGACTACGGTTGGGTGGAAGTGGTTTTGTGGGGTGCAAGTGGTTGGATGGCTATAATTGTGACTGATTTGTAATTTATTGAAAATTTGGGATTATAGCTGCAATTAGTTCTTTTTTTTTATTTTCTTTTTGTTTTATTTGAATAGAAGGGTAAAATCATCAAAAATAGATGAAAATGACCTTCTGCACAATGAAGGTGAAAATGCCCAAAAATGATATGTATGGATGTTTTACACAATAGCATTGAAAGGTAAGAATGTTTTGTGCTATTTACCCATATGGTTAATATTGATTGTTTAATTTCGACTTAGATTAAAATCTGATTTTAATCTAAACCAAACAGGCGATAAATCATTATTCTCGTACTCTGTCTGTGAAAGATGGGAAAAACACAAATACATGCACGATTCATGAGAGGAAAGAAGTTATTATGCCATTGTAGAAGCAAGTGATCGCAATAAATCAATGTTGATGACGATTGTAAAGTAAAATACATCCTGGGAGGGCGGCCCTTACCTCCAATATAACAGCACCAAGAGTAACCCATCTGATAATTTTCCAGTGCTTATCCATAAAATCATATATCATATCAAAATTTCCAGTTTTGTCAGTTGGAATTGCCTGTAAGATATATTTGTTGTAATCAAATTCAAAAACTAATATGTTTGTAATTGAAGGCATCGGTTATAAGAACTTGCCTCCTTCCAGCTTTTGTCAAAGAACATAAAAGCAGCACATCCCAGTTCTATCAAGATCAACAAGATCACAAATATTGAATACTTCATTACGTTAAGGAACCCAATCATCCTCGTGAAGAAGAAAAGATGTATATCAATGAAAATTTTCTCAATGAAGATATCAAACTATAGCTTCCCATATGGTTCCTAAAAATGCAATTTGTTAGCTGGAATGGTCTCTGTCGGGCCGAAAATAGCATATTTGCTCAAGATGGCCGTTATCAGACTGCATTTACAAACTTAAGATTGACAGAAGAATGACAAAAGTAAGGCCTCATTATTCAGAATGAAATCACCATTAGCATACTAGGCTACCAGTATAACAACCAAATTGAATACATGTAGCACAACCCTGCCATTTTAAGTCCAATTCACTTGTATACAGTCATGTAACAAATTATTTTTTTGTTTCTTTTTTCCTTTTACCTTGTTGAGAGCCGAAAATTCCTTCCAACATCTACTTACTTACATAAGAGATTATCTTAATATATAGTAAGGATACACAAGTCAGGCAGCAACCATTCCGTAGAGTGGCACCAATGCAACCGCAACAAGAAATGACGACAAGAACTACTCCAATTCCTATAAATAAATATATGAACCTGCACGAAGCAAATGTGATGGTTAACACAATAATCCGTGCGAAAAGAATTTAATTAACAAATTTTAAAAAATAATTCCAGTGCACGTAACAGATTAATATGCTCTGCATAGCACAAAATTAACCCCATAAGACAAAATGAAGGAGGCTCAATGCATAAAGCAGTTAATGCATCACAGGCACAGGATTGCCATCTTTGATCATCCTCTCATGTAGGAATTTGATTTTGTTGGGTGATAGTATACAGTGTTCGACTCAGCTTTAGGAAGGTGTATGCATTAACTTAAACACCCCATTATCATTCCCTTAGGGTCCTCAGCTTCCATACAAATTCCAAACACAACTCCTTTCCTCCCATGTCGGGGGCCTACAGGAGGATACTTCTGATATGGATAGATAACTGAAATATAGGAAAAGGACCAAACACTGGGAATGAAGTTTTCTTACAACATGTTTATTAGGGTTGACACTCCAGAGAAATATGCAATATAGTAAAACAACCGCCTTTAAATTCACTATGCCTACTATACACATCAATATGCTTATAATATTCATTACTTACAACAATAATTTGTCTTCACTGTGAAAAACATGAATATGATCGACAGAGAGTGAGCTGGAGCACCTAGACTTTATAAGAAGGCACGGGCATAAGAAGGGGTATTTAGAATTGGTAGTGAAATTAATGACGTAATGTTTTGTTTCTAAGCCTTACCTAATCGACAAGCACAACGCTAGGAGACAAATCAAGAAACAACACTTCATGTTATAAAATCTTAAGTAATAAGTTGGAACCAGTGACAAATTCAGGATTTTGAGTCAACATGGGCGGCCATTGATTGTCGACCGTCGACCGTCAACCGCAATAAATTATTAAGAGCCCGTTTGATATCCTTTTTTTAGTAAAAAAATGCATTTCGAAATAGTGATTTCATGGAAAACGTGAGGTTAAAAATAAGGAAAAAGTTTTGAATTTGCATGTAATATTATTTTATTGAAGAATGTATTGTTAAAAATAAAATAGATAAAAATATATTTTGAAAAAAATAAAAATAAAACAAAGCCTAAAATTTAAATATAACAATTATTTTGTTCATATTGAACATATATAATTCTATATAATTCTGTTATAAGAATAAATCGTACATTCACCAAATGACATTGTTGCCAAATTTCGTATAATTTAAAGGAAAAGCATGATTTTGAATCTTTATAATTTTATTAAACCCAATAAATGTAATATATATTATTTTGTTGAATTAAGTGTCAAAAGCAATAGATGTCAGAGTGGCCAAGCTTTCAATGATCAGAATAGGAGCTCATGGTTCGAATCTCATCCAACTCTTTCCTATTGCATTAATTTTGGTAGAAATTGTAAAACTAAAAAATTTGCAAAATAAATTGGCTGTGAAAAGATTCGAAATTGGGACTTACAAAACGTAAATGTAAGATCTTACCATTACAGCCAAAAGGAGAGTCCGAAAGAAGAAAGAATTATCAGTTATATAAACTAAAACCTTAATCTATTGTCAGCCAAAAAAAAAATGCTTCCGGGGATCCAACTAGGGCGGCCGCCCTAACTCGCCACTACCTAGATTTGCCACTGGTTGGAACATTCCAAAGAAATTAGAAATGGGGATATCCGTTCTGGTAATAAGAGGTCATGTTTGACCTTAAGCTTGTTACTCAAGAAAATTTCACTAAGGTATCAAATGTATTCTACAAGAAAAAAGGAGCGAAGATGGTGCAACTCTCCACGGCCGCTCCAATGAAGATATAAAATGACTGGTGTCTGAAAGTGCTTGATTGATGAAGGAAGATTCAGTGTTCAAGGGTCAAATTGATCTCATTGCTAACACATGCATGGGTGGTTTGATGAATAGGAGTGCGATCTTTCACAGAAACTTAATCTGAAGAAGATATCTGATCGTGTGAATCAAGAAAAAGGTCCTATAACATCTCCCCATACAAGAAGTTGCAAAGACGTAGGAAAGGAAGGCATTACTGAATATAACACCTAGTCGTAGTGCTGGGTAAACTGCAGGCCTGATTTTATCAAATCTAGAATTTATGTTAAGACGAAGCTGTGATCCATTGACTAATGCCGCAAAAATGAGTTCATAGATTTGATTTTTGCTTTTCCTGATCTTGTTTATTTATTAACCTTTATATTGGTTGTTCTGGTAATGATTCTTGAAGGCCTTTTAGTTGACATTTTCAAAAACTATCATGATAGCCTCATTGAAGAGTTAGCAAGTAGCAGGAGAGCACATTATAGGATGGCAAAAGGTGATGAACTAGGGTTGAAATTTATACTGTAAAGATAAGAGAAGGCAACCCAACAACCGATTCAACAGTCAGATAATGCACGACAGATGAAGTTATTATTCATGCAAGGAACCAAACCATAACATGTCTTGCTGAGAGCGAATATAAATTGGAAAGGGCACAATTCTTCAAAATAGCTTTAGTCATTGGATTCAAAAGTTAGAATGAAAGCCTTCAATCTTTCATGTATATTTCATGAGGCATCTTAGTCCAAAATAGAAAAGAGAATTTTCTAAACACACTTCTGTCTCTATATAACATCTTGATAGGAACTGCTAAACAAGATTTATCATAGCCAGGAGCAAAGCCCCAAGGGAAAGGTCAGCTGAACGAAGCCAGCTAAGGAATAAGAGCTGGGGAAGAGCAGGAGAGCAAATTGGACCCTCTGAAAGGGAAAAAGTAACGTAAGGAGTTTCAGGTTCTCTCTGGGCTTTTTCTTGAACCGGCTTGAAGTGGGTTCGGGTTTGGAAGACAGACTACTATATAGTCCGGGGATGAAAATGACAAGAAAGGGGGATAGTGGCTTGGGACCCACAACGGTTCGAAATCAGTTACTTGTAACATATCCAGACACAGAAGTAGATTCTATTGATCCGTTTGATACCATACTGTAGGATACCATTTACTTAATGATTAGATGAAAGCACTGGCAGATCAAAACGTGTGGGAGGAGGCAATCCCTATACAGCTAGACCTCTTCCCCCGAAAATCCGAGCACACATATTGGGTCCGTCACCAGTAGAACAGGATAAAAGTTATTTCCAGCAATATCTCTGAATGAGAACCACTGACAGAAGATCTCCTATCTACTAATCAGTTGTATAGTAGAACGTGCTCAGATTAGATTGTTACTTCAGTAGAAGAGTATCATGTCTCTGTTGTAACATCAAAAACTAAAATAAGAAGAAACAAACGAAAAAGAAAAATTCTCATCATTTCAGACAAAAGGCGAAAAGGATACAAATAAAATAAGAAGAGTAAGCACTTCCATCGACAAGCAGAAAAGGAGGAAACATCATGAAGGAATATATGAATTGGTGCATGAAAATCATTAACTGTAACACTTCTCACAAAGTTCTATAATGACAACTTCCAAAATTAGAAACGCAAAATATAATCATAACCGTATATTTCTCCTCAAGGTCTCGTTCAAAAACATACTTTTCACTTACTGTTGAACTAAAACTTAATTTCACTCTCAAAAAAATGAAGAGAATCACTATTTGTTGCTCTAAAGTGCTTGTTTTAGCTCTCTCGCTTTCTAAAACATAGTTAACATATAATACGAAGTTCTTATATTTCTTTCAACACTATTTCACCACACCTTGATGCATGTTAAATATAACATAACACATTGACTAAAGAAATACAAGCACTTCAGAATTATTAATAGCTTTGATACACAAAAGTAAAGCCAGCACAAATAGGTGTCATACCAAGCTTTGGGGAGCTTATCGAAAATGCTATCCAAAGACACAGCCATGAGCATCGGGCGACCTAACTGGATCAATTCGCCACTCGAATGCATATTTGGATGATTGCCGGAGGATGCAGCATTCTTATACTCTACAAAGAGGAATATTCCATATCCAACCATGGCCAGACCCACAAGGGCTAACAAGAAGTTCATCAGCTTCAAGAGGCACTCCAAACACCCCTTACATGCCATTTTCTAGTTCTAACTATGATATGTCACCCTTTATAAAGCTGGTACTTGAATTGTCCCTTCTAGTGCATAAACTTAACTCCTCTGTTTCATACACCATAAATCCACAAATAAATACCTCGTGAATAAAATAATTAGTTAAGAAAAGCGCAAAAGACTTTAGCTTAAAAGGGTCTTCTTTTAATTCAATATATATTAAAATGGTTATCTACATATATCAATCTATTCTTTCAAGAAAAAAATTAAGACTTTTATCCAAGAATCCTTGGCAGCAAATATTTTCTGTCAGAAGAAAAAAAAAGCCCATAAACAGGGCAACAGCATAACAGGAATTAAGGGGAAAATTATCGGTGAGGGATGAAATACTACATACTGCAGAAGAATACTCTATTAAAAAACAAAAAAGAAGAAAAAAGGCACGACAACGAATATAAATTCAGCTTGGAGTCAAGAACTGATCTGTAGTATAGACTGTATAGTAAATATTCGAAAATGAAGAGGAAAAGCTTACAATCGCGAGGCTATGATTTCTAGTAACAGTATCAAGAACTGATTTGTAGTATATAAAATATTCGAAAATGAATAGGAAAAGCTTACAATCGAGAGGCTATGATTTCTAGTAACAGTAGGTCAAAACCTTTTGGATTTCAGTAGATACCTATAAACAGAGAGAAGATGGTGGCGTGGGCCGGTGGGGTTCGCGAAGGAGCGGTAAATACATTATACAATTATAAAAGTTGATTTTTTTAAAAGACGTGAATATTCTTTCACTTAATAATAAAAATCAAATACTTTCTACATTTCTTATATCTGTTTACTCTAATACAGATAAATAAAGCAGTCTTATCCTTTATCTGCAAAAACTAAAAAATTTATCAAAATAAAGTCAAAAAATTTGTGGGCATCAATCTCGTCGGTTCGGTAAGTTTATATACGCAAATTTAATCTTGTTTTTGTTAAATTATCGTATGTTTAAATTAATAAATTATATTTCGACATTTAATGATTAGTAGATAAAAAAATTTAATAGATCTGTAATTTTTCAAGTATTTGACTGAAAAAAATTCATCTGCACATTCATGCCGGCACTGATGAATCGACTGTTTGACTGTCTATTAAACAGTCGAAAAATAATCTTCCAAACAGCGAACTGTTTTGCCGACTGTTTGATCGGCTGTTTGTCAACTATTTTTTCCCCTTTTTGAGGTTATTTTTATTGCTGTTGATATTTTTCTTGTAATTAAAAATTCTTTTTCGACATGCAGATATGGTTATACTCCCAGTTTGTTACTTTGGTGATTTCGAATTGGACAAAAGAGATCAATGGATATGAAAATGGACAAGTGCTAAACGTGGTGGTATCTCAATTTTCATATCATCAAGTACATCGTATGCAGAACTATATAATGATTTACAGAACAAGTTATATGTTGATCCTTCTCAATACAACATGGAATTGAAATTTAAATTCAGCAAGCATGCATCAGTTTCAATTCCACCTATAATGATTTCTTCTGTTGATAAAGTGAATTATATGATTGAATTGAACAATAAGCACACGGCTTCTCTTTGCGTGACTTTAGTCAGGAATGATGTCGTCGAAAATGAACAAGTAGACTCGGGAGCTAGGGATCACAATGCTAATGGTTTTTGGGATACGGTGGAGATAGCTCGTGAAGATGATGTGGTTATTCCAAAGATAGTTGCACACAGGATCTCCTCCGCTGCTCGTGACAACGAGAATGAAAATACAAATAGTTTTACAAATAAGGACTTGATTGCTTTATCCCGGCAGAGACATGAGTGTGGTGGCACCTCGGAGGCTAGATCGAGTGGACCGTCCTCTAACTCCTCACGTGTGGTTCCTAATAATGAGGATTTATAAATCGAGCAATTGTTTGAAACGAAGAAAGATTTGCAAAAAGCCGTGCACCTAATTGCACTGAAATACAACTTCGAGTTTAGAGTGAAAAAATCGAATAAGTCGTTGTTGACGCTATCATGCATAGATGATATTGCAGTTGGCATTTACGAGCAACGAAGATGGACACGAATGAGTGCTTCGTAATTCGCAAATATACATGAAAACATACTTGTGAAGTAAGAGTTTATCGCAATGATCACAGGCAAGCCCGAGCTTGGTTTATTGGTCGATAAATAATGCACAAGTATCAGGATTCACGGACAATCTACAGACCATCGGACATCATTAATGATGTTCGTCGAGAGTACGAAGTAGTCATTAGCTACCAGAAGCCTGGAAGGTCAAAGAATGCTCGTTGGAGGATTTAATAGGCTCGACAGAAGAAAGGTATGCTAAATTTGTCAGGTATTGTCATAACATGGAGAAAACTAATCATGACTCGGCATTTTTTATTGAGACGGAGGCCGATAACTGTTTCAAATTCTTCTTTATGGCTCTTGGACAATGCATTCGGAGATTTCGAAATGCTATGCGACCCCTAATTCTAGTCGACGGTACAACTCTGAAATTCAAATACCAAGGCAAGTTGATTATTGCTACATGTTAAGATGCCTACATTCAAATTTATCCTTTTGCATTCAACATAGTTAATAATGAGAATGATCTGTCGATGCGTTGGTTCTTCACGAAACTCAGGGAAGTAATCGGAGAAGTCGAGAACCTTGCATATGTCACCGATCGGGGACAATCTATAATAAATGGTATTGCTGAAGTTTTTCCCGATGCACATCATGGGTATTACATGTACCATATACAAGGCAACTTGAAGACTAGGTATCGAGGCAAAGGCATCGTTTCATTATTTAGGAGAGCGGCCGAAGTTTACAGTATTGAAGAGTGTAATAGGCACGTGGTTGAAATAGGAAGCAAATCATTCCCGGCATGGGACTATCTAACGAAAATGGGGATTGAACATTGGGCACGCTCATATTTTTCAGGACGTCGATACAATATGATGACGTCAAACAACGCGGAGTCTCTCAATGCATTATTTAAGAGGGATCGAGAGTTACCCATTCTCGCACTAATTGAGAATATCCGTATGAAGCTGCAGCAGTGGTTTCATGATCGACGTGAGGAATCACATAATTGCACAAGCGTGCTAGCCCCAGCACAAGAGGTAAAGCTCTTCAAGGCTGTAGAGGCTGGGAGAAAGTTAAATGTCGAACCACAAGACCAATCGCGCTTCTTTGTGGAATGTGCACGTCATACGGCATATATGGTAGATTTAAGTTATGGAACATGCACTTGTAAACAATTTCAGTTAGAGAGTTTTCCATGTGAACATACAGTTGCGATGGCTATGTATCGAGGATTTGCAGCGAGAATATTGTGCTCTCCTTATTACACTGCTGAAAATTGGAGAGTTGCGTATGTTGAAACCATATTTCTGTATAAATCACACGCTAACTTATTTCGCCAATCTGTATTCATGACTGGTTGATTCCATCAACCTTATGTGCTATACTCAACAATTCTATGTATTTGATTGCGAAAATCCCACAGTCGCCCTTGCAAATGAACAAATGTTAAATCACGCACAATATAAATTACAAATGCATAATACTCACCTGAGGGTCGTCAAGAATAGCCAATAACTATTTTCCAGTGGGACATTCCTCCGATCGAGATGCTCTCCAATGGTGCATCCTAGGGCAGCATGTCTCCCCTTGCCTCGCAAAGCGAGCACCCAATATGGGGACGGCCTCATATGCCCAGATCTGCAACACATACAATTATTATATATAAATTCAATATGAAAATAATTTTAACATTCATTATGTTAACCATTTACCTGCACCACTAGGGACAATCCATCGTTATCGTACTTACGCATGGCTCCCTTCGACTTCGAGTGCGATCTGGTGAAAACGTGTACAGTGTCCTCAAAATATCTCCGGCCCCATGGATAGTCGTTGAAACGATCGATGTCGTCAACGATCTCCAGATGGAAGAGATCGATCGCAGTTTTCTTAAGGTGACACCACACCATGCTCTCAAGAATGTAGACTAGACCTAACTTCAGTCTGTCTAACATTTTATCACACCTCCTGATTGCGTCCAACAGCTGTGTAAGAAGCACAGTACCCTGTCCCTCGAAGTAAGCGTCATGAAGCCTATTTTTTCTCTGAGTCCCATCACCAGCTGCTTCATCGCCCGTAATATTTAATCCCGTGATCAGAGCAAACTTGAACATCACAAAATTGGCGATTTTATCCCCGATTGCGAAGTGGAGGGGATCGCTGTCGACTGGACTCAACAATCGACATAGAAGTGCATCAATAATCTGACCCGAGTACTGCAGATCTCTCAACGAGTATAAGAGCCACAGGAAGGACTGGCGCAGTATATCAGCATGCTGATCATCTAGCAGCTCTAACACAGCTGTGAAACTATCAAAGCTACTATTTCACGCAGCTTTGCCAGGCATCTGTCTCAACTCTGCGTCAAGATGATAATTCATCCTGTAAAAATTTAAAATATTAGACCATTGTACAAGTGATAATAGTAATAACAGAAAATTTAGCGAACGAAATTGTAACTACAATATGTAAGACGCAGATTCATAATAATTAAAATCATCAATAATGTGAATTTTTTTATCCTATTATGAATAATGTCAATTTTTCCCAATTATCACAATTTTTTTAATCAATTCAAGTTCAAAAAATATTTAAATTCGATAAACGAAAATAATATTATTTATCAAAAACTAATAATAAAAATAAATATTAAATATTAAATTTCAAATTAAATTTCCAACAATTATTTCAAATTACAATTAAAAATTTCCCAACAATTATTTAAAATTATTATTTACCAAAAATGAAAAAATAAGAATAAATATTAAAACAAAAATTAAATGTAAAAATTTTATTTAAATTTAGTCGTAACAATTTTATTTAAATTCGGCAAATTAAATAATTTATTATTTATTAAAACCAAATAATAAAAATTATTTAAAATTAGATTATTAAATTATATGTGAAAAAAATTGGGCAAAAAAAAAAGTGGGCCGACAGTCGGCCCACTAATTTGACAGTCGGCCCATACCGACTGTTACCGGACTATTAACAGTCGGGTTCAAGACCTTCTTCAACCTTTTTCGCCGAAAAATCACCATTTTCGACGAGAAAAGCTTCTCAATTCAAAAAAAATAACCATTTTTTACACTATATAAACCCTATTTTACTTATATAAACAAAAATATATTTTAAAAATCTCCAACAAATATTCACACCTTTAACCAAAATCTAAACATTAATCCAACCAAATAATGGTTATCTTCACAAGAAGTAATTCGTCGGCGATGGACTAGCAACTTCTCCGACTGACTGGAAACCGACCTTTCTTTTTCAGTTTTGTGAGATTCAATTTTGTGAGAAGCCGAGAGGTATTTTAGGATTTTAAGCTTTAAATCCGATTTATTTTTTTTAATTAAAAAGGCGGTGAAATGTCACTTTGAAAATATGGATGGATTATCCAATCATTTCCAACAATTTCTTCTAATTTTTTTATACATAAGTATTCACCTCACATGGCATTGGATCTACTCAAATAATTTTAGGAGCGGACACTTTTTCCTAGAATCGGACCTGAACTATTTAGAATTGGCCAATTTGATTTCGGGACAAATTTTTAAGAATCGATTGATTTTGATCCGGTTCCCGATTCTAGTATGGGAACCGCGAAAACAAAACGGTTCTCATTGGATTTTTTTTAA